TTAAATTGTAAGCAGAATTGGTTTTTATTTTATTTATTGAAAAGAAATATAAATGTAATTAAACTTTTGTAAATTATCAATAGGCTTTCCAAACTTTCTTTTCATCTCTTGTGCAAAATTGCATTCATCTGTTTTAAAATGTGCTAAAAATTCTATATTCCCAAAGATTTTCAAAAAAACCCTTTTTGCAATATTTAAACTTAATTTTACAATCAAATTTGATGAAATTTTCAAAGATTTTGAATTACAAACAAATGCTTGTCATGTTTAGTTTACCAATTTTAAGTTTATAACATTCCTAACTCTGGGAGTTAAAAGTTAAACATAAAACTGTTCAGAAGAATAATTTTCCTAAAATTTACATGAAACATTTTACGAGGGTTTCCAATCGGAATTCTGTTGCACAGAATGGAGCGAAATTGCATGCAACTGTGTAGAATTGCAGGCACCTGTTCTCGTATTTCATGAAATAGTGGGAACATGTGCAGAAATTATAGGGTCTGCAATTGCAAGAAAGTTAAATCCACATGACTGGAGCCCTACAGTCTACATAAAACATAATACTCTTTTTAAGTTTTTATATTCAGTTTAGCACCATTAGTTGATGAAGAAAACTACACATACTAACAACCTTATAAATATGTCTGCCTTTTGAATGTACTTTAATGTTTCTGACGATAGTAACTATATGATATTAAAGGATCAACACTTTAGACCTCTAGACATCCTGAAACTTATCAAATTTTTACACAGCCTTTTTGGTTTAATTCACCAATTTTATATATTTTTGTAGCCCTAGACATATTCATTTTATAAATGCAATGCACATGTTTTTAGCTTAAATTTAAAAGTGACAAAATACTGCTTAATTTTAGTTAGAGAGTGCACACATCTTGGTTTGGAGTGGCTATACATGATACGCAAACTCTTTAACTTAAAACTGTTTCCAAAGCTGATTCATCCAGAGAATACAACATTGGGTTGCAAAGATAAGGGAATTAGTTAGAGTTGTTAAAACAAAAATTTTGCCTTTTAGGTTCATTTGCTATTGTTTTAAAATAATTCTTATCAGTTGACATGTTTTATCCTTCAATTTTCAAAAACCTTTTTGATAATAAAATTTAAAAATGAGGACGAAAATATATCAAAATTTGCAAAAATTGTGGACAAAATTTGTTCGTTATCTACTCAAACATTTTGCAAATTTTGTTAAAGGTAAATTTTTTTGAAAACCCTGATCATAAATTATTCTAAAATTTTCCCCTAAATTTGAACTTCAAATTTAATGTTTTTAAATACAATTATCAAGAATTTCTATAAATTAATGTTTTTCTTCTAATAAATTGCAAATATTAAAGGTTGAAATAAGCAAGGTTATTTAAACAATGTAAGCACAGATTTTAACCAGTCTTACCACACTCAGATATGATTGCAGTTACCCAACGTATATTTATTAAATATATATACAGGGTGTCTCAAAAAAAAACTGTGCAGTTGGGGTATTAGTAACTGAAGAAACAATTTTCGTTCAATTTTTACGATCAAGGTGTCATTCGAAAGCTCTATATTTCAGTTATTTCATGATGTGAAATTTTTCTTTCTAGGCCTCATACTTTTTGCTACAACCAATTATTTTAGCATAAGTCGAAAATCGATTTCCCGGATTTTTCAATTTTTCGATTTTTCATGTCTCATTTTCATTCGTTCATAAAGTATGGAAAAATTTAAAGATTTTCGAAATTTTTTTTTGAAATCATAAGCTGTTAGTCTTAGGTTTCATCTTTAACTAAAATTTTGGATCAGCGATTATTACTTTTGAAGCTAGAGCAATCTAAAAATAAAAATATGCATTGAAAAAAAACGAAAAGAGAGCTAAAAAAATATTTGTCTAGCTTGTTAAAAATAAATATAAGTTTATAACCAACGATGTAAGTATACGACGACAGACAGTGTGTATTGTTTTATTGGTACGCGGCACACTGCACATCTTGAGTCTTTTCTTCAGTTTAATTTAAAAATTAACGACAACAAGTAAATGCTATCGTTAACGATAAATTTAGAGTTAGAAATATTTGTAAGAAACTAGACTTATAATACTGTTCATATATAGTAATGTTCCTTAATCAATACTCATTTATCAAAATTGTAATATTGTTCCTAATTTTCATGCATTGAAGTATAACCAGTAATTTCTTTTTGTTCTTTAATTGCTAATGTTCCTATTTTTGTCCCTGTTCCTAATACTGTGTCCAACCCACCTTAAATCCCTGTCCTAATCCTTTATTTTTGTTCCTAATTCCTGAAAAATCCTTTTAATTGCTCCTAAATTCCTGTTCTAATCCTTTAATTTTGTTCCTAAAAGTTAAGAATCTGGTTTTTTAGTCTTTAGTCATTAATTTTGACCCTTTTTTAAGTCTCTTAAGTCCAAAACAATTTTCGCCTGCGCCACGATTTTTTGTTCCTAATTATTAATTTTTTGTTCCCAAAAAATCTTGCCCCTCCCCTCACTTAAATCCTGTATCTACCCCTATTTCCTGAAGTTTAAGTATTTGAAATAAAAGGTTTATAATTTGAAAATAAACATCAAATTACTAAAAATTGCTGTTCATGTTGTTTAAGTTAACCGAGGTGAATAAAATCTTGATCCCTTGTCATCTTTGTTTAATAAGATGAAACTAATTATAAGTCAATAAAATTTCTAATTTGATTCGAGCTGAGAAAGTAAAATTAATATCAATTAAAATATAGAAAAATAAGGAAAATTCCAAAATGTTAAAATCATTGGTAATAAATTTCTCAGTTTTTTACTTAATAGTTCAGAATATTTTCTTTCATTAAAATCTCATTTGTTAAACAAGAAACAAAGAAAAGTCCAACTGTAGCCCTGCCTGCATTTTGAAGGGACAGTAAACAAAATAATACAGTTTTTTATTATACTTATTGAAAGTAAACAAACTGAGGAATGTATGACCTAGATATCCAATGTGAGTAATTTTCACCTCAAGGATTCCTCATTCAAATTGATCATTGAGTGTCTCTACCATCCCAGGATATCCTTGAGGAAATCAAATCTGCAGGTTTGCAAGATGAAAATCAAAGTTTCATCCTGAGATTCACAAATCACAAAATTTCTAACTAATGATGAATTTCTTAAACTTTTAATCATAATATTCTAATACATTTGCAACACTGTGTTGAAGATCTACAAGTTCTGACAGATTTAACAGTTACAGTATACAATATCAAAGGTTTGCTTGTTAAGAAAAAATAAGGATGAAGATTTTTAAACTAAAATTGAGAGGGAAAACACAGAGTAGTAAATGAAGTGTGCTATCTACTTCAAATTTTGCCGCTTCGCCCAGATAATCTTACTCAATCAACTTTAACAAAGTAACATAGATCAATTTTACAAAATTGAGTTTTTTAATGCAGTAAGTACTTGCACTATATGTCAAATTAAGTATGAAGCTCTTCCGGGGGGGGGGGGGGAGGATAAAACACTAACAGACCAAGATTATTAAGAATTAAATTTTAAAAAGTAAGACATTTCTCTTTTATTATAGTGAAATTAATATACCTAGTACATAGACGACAAGAAAATTTTAGAAATTAGAAATGAGAATATAAACAAAGACAATATTTTTTCAAAGTTGCAGAGTAGCTTTTCGAAAAATTTAAAAAAGTCACATCTTTTTTTCTCTGAGAGTAAAACTATTTTTTATGTTACTTAAAATAAAATCAGTTTTTTTACAGATCTGTGTAGTTAATGTAAAATGAATGACTGTAATGAAGGATATAAAACAATGTGAAAGCTGAAAGATAGTAAATGAAGCCTTTTTTGAATGCCAGAAATGAGTGGAACCCAACTAAAACCAATAATTTGATTGTTTCCGAAAAAACAATGATATTCTCATGGTTACGTCTCAGGGACTTTATCTAGTAACTAGGAATAAAGGGACAACTATCATCTTTTCTTTTTCACAAATATTTATTAATAGTTTAAAATTAAATTAAGGTTTCTCTATTTTTAGGTTTGGTATGGGGACTCGGGGTGAGCTAGTGGGGCAGACATCCGTGACTGACTCTTCAGGCTGAATCTAGGCCGAGTTCAAACCACTGCCTGATTCAAGCCTTTTATCCAATAGGCTTCTGCCAGCGCAATCCCACCACATGAATCAGGGGTGAATTTTAGATTCATCTCTAACAAATTCTAAAATAAGAGAAAAAGCAGTATCATTTTTAGCAACGTCAACATACAATCAAACCATTCCAATCCTCAATCTTCCTGAAAATGTATTTTCCTCTTCTAAGTTGATTTTCCATAATAGAAAAAAGAGTTGTAAAAAGGGATTAATATTCCTAGTTTAAAGATTTTGATGTTTCTTTGAGAAAATATAATATCCCTGTACAACCTAGAATCCCCCCTACATAATCCTTATTTACGCCCCTGTATAGGATTCCAAAATTCAAGGCCATGGATTTATGATTTGTTTATATACATCTAATCTGTTACTTTCTCATATATAATGCTAAATAGTTTACCCCTGATTTTGTGTATATAATGTGAAAGCATGGATTTGAATATGATGTCATTTCCTTGTTTAAAAGATCCGACGTTGAACTTCATAAAAACTTTGATGTCAACATTTTTTAGCAAATTCCTTAAATTCCAAATTGTTCCCAAGCTTAACTGTTGGACTGCAATATAGGTTGTTATTTAAATCTTCGACAAAGGTTTCCAACAAGGTTAATAAATTCCAGAGTAATCTACCTGACAACTTCACTGTCGGAAAAAGTTGTCGGAGCTCCGACTGTTTATGTCAAAGCATAGGCTTAGAAGTCAGTCGGAGCTTTGGTTTATGTTTGACATAGGCAAAAATGTTTGTTGGGCATGCAGGTGATGATAGAAGAACAAAGATATATATAAAGAATAATTCAATTTTACAAAAAATAATTTTATATAGCTAAACTATTTTCAATTTTCTCCTACTTAAATTCCTTTAAAAGTTTCAGACTAAGAATATGAAAAACCAAATTACTTTACTCCTCGGTGTGCTAGTGGTTAACCAGGGGAAAGTATTTGCTGACTGTACAGAAATTCAAGAACAGAATACTCTGAAGACTATCCAATGGTTTATTAGGAATGTAACATTGTAATAGTAGTTATTTAAAAAACTACCTAAAGTGCTTGGCATTGCCCCTGGAAATAAAAATAATTGAATTTTTTTAAAAGGGTTCCACCAAAAATTTTCAGCCAATTTGGTTTAGCCATTTGGCCAGCTATAGCTAATAAATATTTATTAAAGAAGATAATTATTATATAGATAAAATGTTGTTTTCCAATGAAGTATTCAACCATTGCATTTTCAAAGATTTTAGAGTTAGAAAAAATCTTTTAATATTTTCTTTAAAATGTTAACTAACCTAGGCGAGTTCAAGGTTCAGCTAATTGTTTAAATATTATTGTTGGGTATGTTTAACTATTAGTCATAAATAATAAATTCTTTTTTTAATTATAAGCATTTTAAAATACAAATTTGTGTTTAAGTATGGAAACTGTAGTAGATCTGGGAGGACAACAATTGACTATAGAGAATGGAAAGGACATTGAAGCTTTCAAAGATACCCTTGCAGACTTTTCTAAGTGCTTTATAGTTATCTCCAGAGAGGTATTTGAGATTAAACTTAAAATACTATTGTAGAATTAAAAGAAATAACTTTAATCTAAAAATAAACTGTTGTGAATAAGAAAACTAAAAAGGATTTTTTAATAGATAACATTCTATGAAAAATATAAAATGTTCAGAACTTTGCTAAACATTTTCAAACAATTAAAGAAATTCACATTCTTTACTTATGCTACTTTAAACAAATTATGAGTTTTTATTTTATAGGTAGCCGTGTTAGAAAATATAAATAAACTTAGATATCCTCCTACCCTGATAATTCTACTGAAGCAGGATATCATTCACCATAAAGATCTATTAGGACAATATTAGCATTTTATTTGGATTTAGAAAGTACAATATTTTGCTTGATTCTTTTTTGTCTTCTTTCTAAATTATAGGAAAACACTATTTTTGTAATAGAAAAGATCTTTATATAATATTTACTTAAACTGAAAGTGTTTGTAAAGTTATTTCAAAAACCCTCTAGAAAAAGAGTGACATGTCCAATTCACAACAATACCCTTGGAAAGTTTTTTTTGCAAGTATTAATAAGTTATCCATGTTTATAATTATGAAAACTGATTATTTCAACTGTGGGTTTTTTTACACAAAAGACTTCTACTGCCAGAAAAATGATATTCTTTCTCATTATTTGTCAGATAAAGGTTAAAATTAACAAGGTCATATCAAAGCAAAGAAGTTCTGGAATCATTGTTTCAATATAATAATATTTTTTAATTTTGGAATGGACTAAAAAAAATTTTTTATATAACAATTTCAAAACATGTACTTTTAGTTTCTGTTGGTTGACAGTGTCAGCATGGTAACCCTAAAAGTTGGACTAGGCCACCATACACTAAATGCCCAGCCAATTAGAGTTTGACATTCAAATTTAATTGTATCTGGAAATCAGTTGTGCCTAGGAGGGCATGCTGAGCAGACCTACTTAACTACTCTCTGCAATTTGTAAATGAAGGTGCCATAAAAGGCTTTACACATTGAAGGGAGGATAGCCCAAGCAACCATAAACCCCATGCTTGACTAGTTAACTTCCTTTCTAACTGTTAAAGTATCTTCAGTCAGGGTACTAAATTAAGAATTGTTACTCATAAAAATTGTCATGTTCTGAACTCCCTCGCCCCTGAGTTCTTCATGCAAAAGATGTGTAGCCCCTGAAGTCGAGAGGGGAACAAGTCAGTACTGCAACAACAAAACTAGTTTTGATTTGTATATTTTACCTTACATTTATACTGTATCCGCCATTTCGTGTCAGTTAAGCTTGATTTTTAGATACATGATTATTGATATTTGTGATTTGTGAATGGCACATTCAGTTACTAATTAGACATTACTACAATATTTCTATATTTTATTTCCTTGTTCTCTTTATTAGATTTAAAGGATGAATTTATCCATGCAAGAATTTTCACGTATTTCTGAGTTATGAAAGATTTTATTCTTCTTGAGCTTATTTGGTCCTGGTTAAAATTGTAACCCTGTAGTAGATCATTGTCGATATTTAAGGATATTTTATGCAGCCAGATTCCATTGCGAAACAAGAATAAAGAAGAAAAACAAAAAGAAGAAAATCTAACAAAGAGGCAATATATCTAAAACGGGTGTGAAATTTTTCTGAAACAATTTTACAGAAGCAAAAAAGTATTCTACTATGAATAAAAAGACAAGTTTATAAAATATAATTTTCACTCCTACCCAATAAGTTATATGACACAGCAGATATGAGTAAAATATGAAACGTAGCAACATGCATGTAAAACAAACACATATTCTAGAAACATGTTGTCCAACTAATTCTAGAAGCACAGTAATATATTTGTGGTTATCAGAACAGCAAGCAGAACTTTAAAAAGATCAGCCAAGATCATAATAGGAAGATGGTTTACAAGGAAGAAAATTGGAGAACAAGAAGTGTAGTGTAGAAGAATAACAGGGTGTGTGCAGAGGTGTGTGCACCATGTATAATTACAATGACCATTATCTATTTAGTTTATTTTATACATATTGTTAAAATAAATTAAAATTCTAAATATATAAACATTAGAAAAACATGCACTGGCTTAGAAGGCTCTGTTTGCATAGCTAAAACAGGACCCAATAGCTAAAATTATACAGAAAGAATAGTACCATTGCGAATCAGCATGGCTTTTTTTAAATGGAGGGTCTATTGAAATGCACAATTCAATAAAAAGAGTTTGTAAAAATTTCTCAAATAACCAAAATGTAAATAGCTTCAAAATACTTGCTAACTTTGAATTAGTATTGTCACGCTTACTGATACTTTCCAAATGTTCATCTTTGTTTACTTATTGGTAAGTTTAATACCTAAGATAGGAAGTTTAATTCAAATATAATATTTGTTAAAGATAGTATTAATTTAAAATTTAAATGTTAACGAAAAATGTTATTAACCCATTAGTGACGAGACAAATAATTCTTTCTGATCTTGCTGAAATACACAGGGTTAACTCATTATACTGTCCATAGAGTAGATTTAAAGTTTCAATTTTTTTCAATGAAGGGTTGTGGAGATACAAAACCTGGCACATTTTGTCCGTCTCAGCATGGGTCAAAATTGACTGCCCGGTCAATTTTGACCGTCTGCAGCAGAAAACGGTCAATTTTGTCCATCTCGGCTCGGACAAAATTGACCGGGCGGTCAATTTTGACCGATGCTGAGATGGACAAAATTGAATGGGTCCTTATCTCTACTAACCTTCATTGAAAAAAATTGAAACTTGAGGGGGGTGTTTATCATCTATATTATTAACAATACCACAAAGGGTTGATAAAAGCTATCATGAAGATTACGACCACCCTACCCCCAGGGGGTGGTGACCATGAGGACCATGGGGCTGTAGTTTGGGTCCTGCCTGCTGCTGATGTGTCTGAGAGACCTGTAGATGAAGGAGGGAATGATCTGAATAGGAGAGGGCCAGGAGAAGGTGACCCAAGATGGGGGATCCAATGTAGATCCCCCCGACCCGGAGGATAAGCCTGAGGATGCAGACGAGGATGACCTCCTGTGGATGAGACTGGGCCTCCAGCCAGACAGAGGCCAGATAGTTCTAGTCATCAGTAACTGGAGAAGGATCGAGGGTCAGATAGATGTTGCCTGGCAGAGCCTACATCAATTAATTGTAGATGCATCTCATGGGCATACAAGGATATCTAGGGAGGAACGCTATCTGAGGATGAAGGTGGAACTGTTGACCCACATGTCCTTGCTGGTGCTGAGAAGGGCAGAGCTCCTGCTGTTGTTTGAGACCGAGGTGGATCTGAATGCTGAATATTAATCTCCTAAATATAAATATACAATTATTACAATTATTGAATTAATAAATATGAACTAAGAGAGTTAATTATTCTGCTGTCAACCGAATAAAACTCGGGGTTTACAACAACCTGGTCCGAGACGGGCAATTTTGACTGGGCAGAAAACAAGGCTTAAAAGAGCAGTAAACTTTTTACACTGAACGTAACATTAGCATAGAACTAACATCAAATGCAAACTTTTCATAGAAATAAAAAAATTTTGAACACAATTTTTCACAGATTTATATCTGTTGGAGTTGGAGGTTCCTGAATTTAAGTCTCTCGCAATTGTTGCTAGCTGCTCTTTCACCCTATTGACCTGTAACTTGCCTGCAACCTATAGGTGATACTCGGCATATCTAAAGGAAGGGCGGGAATGAAACAGGACGACATTTGGTTCAAAATGAAGGCACTAAAAAATAAAAACCTTACCTGGTCAAAATTGACCGTCTTGTCACTAATGGGTTAAGATTACAAAAAAATAATCATGGATTACATATTACATCTTCTATATATAAATTTGGCTTGTCTGTCTGTTTGTTTGTCTGTCTGTTTGTTTGTATACAATAAACTTCAAAACGGCTGAACCGATCGGGCCCAAATTTTTTGTGGGACATCATGTGACCACAGGGAAGGTTTTGAATGATAAAAATAAAAAAAAATGTGTTTTAAAGGTTTTTAATTTTGTAAAAAAAATTAAATTCTTGAAAATCCACGAATTTTTTTTTAAAAATCCGCAAAATATTTTTCTTCTTTGTTTTAAAATGTAAACAAAAAGAACATGTTCACAATTTAAATAGAAGATGGAAAAACTGGGTTCTTGATATTCTGAATTGAAATTGGTTCATTAGGAGATGAAACTAAAGAAATTGGAAAGTGTTTTTCTCTTCTTCTGGGGGGATACTACAAAGGTCAAATTTCCACTTGAAGCAAGCACAGAGAGGGGTTTCACTGACCTCTCCACAGTCTGGGGGGTTATGGCAGACCTGTTCTAAACATCTTTCTGTTTCTCCTCCTTCTTTAGGATTGGGACCATGGTTTCTTAGAGGTTGAGAAAGTGAAACACCCATTTCCTCCTTCAAACCATAGGTTACGCTCCACTTCCCTTCCTGCTTGAAAACATTCCTCTTACAGTTCCAGGAGTTTATGTGTCAACCTCTTTGCTAAATGAGTTGAAGCTACAGATTAGGATTATGATTTCCACCCATTTCGACAGCTGAAGGTCAAGCTAGGTTAACCGGTAGGTCAAAGAGAGAGAGAAAGATGGTAACATGGTTTTAACATGTAAACATTGTGAAATACTTTCAATCAAGCACCTATGGGTATCTCTAGGTACATAAAAAAATATAATATTTTTTAAAGGTAATATTAATAAAACATTATATTTAATAATGGAATATTAATTAAACATGATATTTACTAAAAGGAATATTAATTAAACATAATATATACTAAAGGGAATATTAATTAAACATAATATTTACTAAAGGAAATATTAATTAAACATGATATTTACTAAAAGGAATATTAATTAAACATAATATTTACTAAAGGGAATATTAATTAAACATAATATATACAAAAGGGAATATTAATTAAACATAATATATACAAAAGGGATCTCCATCAACAGAAATATGGAGGGATTTGGTCCACCTACTATTCAAATGCAGTTTACAGGGGAGAAAACAGTAATAAGGAACCAGACTCTTTCTATAATCAACAGTTCAGGTTATTCACATACAATTTGTTTCAAATACTAAATTTTTAAATTATATTTCAAGAGTTTTCCAATAAATGAGAGAACCAATGTTTGGTTTTGTATACTTTGTGTACAAAAAATCAAGCTAAATAAATATTTTTCTTATGCTCTGATTCCTGTTTAAATGGTTTAAGTGATGAAGCATTTTTAAATAAATATATTTCTTGTAGAGTGGGTTACAATAAATACTACTTATCACATGGCATGAAAATAAATATATCTGATATTGCCACTGTTCATAAATACAATCTAAAATTATTCATAGGTAAAAATTCGATATCTTTTATTAGATGGAGTTTTTGAGATAAATAGATTCTAAATTTGCAGAGAAGTATCAGCTACAAACTATCTTTAAGAATGGATATGATGCTCCAGGAACCTTTAATCCACGTACTGGAAAATGGCAGGGGGTTATAGGCATGGTATGTTGTAACAGGTGTCACATTATGATTTAATGCTAAAATAGTAAACAAATCTATTTTAAGGTTGGATATGATGAAGTGGATCTTGGAGTTGGAGCATATGCACGAACCGTTGAAAGGTCTTGATTTAACAGTACAATTTTAAACAAAAGCAATTTTTTGATCAAATTTGCTTAAAGTTTGCAGTTTTTTGTTATGAGGTACAGCAAATATAAATTGCTAAAAATTTCTTCTTTTTTTAATTGAAAAAAAACCATGCTTCATGCTCTAAATGTATAGCAGAATATTCATGCATCATGTGAATGAAATTCCAAAAAATTTTCTTTGTAATTATAGATATGAAAAGAAAAATACAAATTATGTGCATCATTACTCTAAATAATAACAGTTGTTCAGCAATATTTGTGAATTGTATTAAATGCTATTGTTTTTAGAAAATAAGCATGCAAACATATTGTTTAATATAATAGAAGGTCATTTTAGACCAAATTTAGTAAAATTATTTCAGGTCAACCTTTGTTGAATTTACATTTGTTTTACATACGCCAGAATATAACGGATGGGTTACAAAGGTAGGAAAGAAATAAGATTTTTTTTAACTTTTGTGTACTTTAACATTCATGCATAGTAAATTTTTATTATTCGTGAGCTATCAGTTAGTTGATTCTATACAATTGTCTATGTAAGACCTCTATCCCTGGCTTTTTGTTAATTAAGCCTAGGCTCTGAGAAGGCTGAATTCTGAAATGCTGGAATACTTAAAGTCCGACTATACACAAGCAAGAGGGTAATAATCAAATAGAGGAAGAATTAAAAAGAGTCATAAAGCAGTACATTATACATCAATCTATGGATAAAGGGACAACTCATCAGCTGAAGTGCAGATAATGGGTAATGATAAGATAATTTATCCTAATTCCAAAAACACATTGGAAAGAGATGTAAAACACCAGAGGAAAAACAGGGATTTTACACAAGAAAAAGTCTCCATACCCCTCAAAAACTTCCTAAAGCACCAACCTTATCCTACTTCTTGAGCAGATATAGTGGAACCTTGAAACAAACTGATAGCAGTTATAGGCCATGGAGATCTCTTAATTTTTTTTCAAAAATTACTGCAGGATACATGAATTATGCTACAGATCCAAAATGTTTTTGAGAGAACGATATCTTTTTAGCAGAAAGATCGTTCAGCAAGAAAACAAACAAAATGAATAAAAATGAACTATTACTTTAAGAATCAACAAAATCAACTTGTTTTGATTGAAAAAAATCAAACAAAATGGGTAGTTCATGAACGATGAACAAATAAAATGCAAATGTGCCCATCTATACCTAATTCATTTGTATTGGCACAACATGTTTTAACATTTTTGAAATAATTTCAAAGCTCAAAGATGCATCCATGGGGGGCATGTGCACCTATTGCCCCCAAAACCCCCGTAGACCTGCCGCTATGTATTTTAAAATTTCACATTTTTTACCTTTAGTATCCAGAGAAAACAGCTGCATCTGAAAACCTGTCAAAGGTACAAGTTACTTCTAGATAAATCATTACAATATAGCTTAATACATTATTTATAAATAATGAAATGGCTAAGGTATTTGACAAGTACACCTGGATTGCAATTCTAATAAGGTAAATTAACAAACATCTTTTAGGGTTGTTTCCCCCTGAAGATTTAGTTTTGAGAAGTGCATTTCAATTAATCTCTTAAAATATTCTTAAATCTTTAAACTTTTCTTGACATGAATACAATTCTATTTCTAAATGTATTTCCCTGTATTTGTCTTTTTGAGCTATTTTGGGGGTGCCATTTGTAAAAAAATGTCAAAATTGTTTATTTAGTGTAATATCTACAAGTATTGCTATGTTGGTTGTCTCAAAAGTGTTGAAGAATCTTGGATTCAAACAGGTCTGTTATATTAAAAGCAGTTATAAATTTTAATCCTTATTAATCCTAAAAGGACTGGGAGTTAGAATCTATCTTAAGTAGAACAGTTCTGAATTTTAATAAAAGTTTTTTTAATAAATTTATGTAGCACTGACCCTTCCTGATTCTTTCCAATGTCCAGTAAAAAAGATTTTTTTTTCTGTAAATCTCTTTAAAGTATTGTTGTTGGTGCCAGTACTAATGTCGGACTTACTGACATCAGAAGCTACAAAGGTTGGACAGTTCAAACGTTGGACTTACAAACGTCGGACTGGTACAAATGTTGGACTGGTTTAAGCATTGGACCGGTACAAACGTTGGACGGGTACATTTACTTATTATGATGAAAATCAAAGACAACTGAACAAAGTCTCATCCTTTGAAGCACTGTTTAAAACAACAGACCAAAACAGAGTTGAGTTCAATTGTCACACTCTTTGATGTTTCAATATCCCTATATCTTTGCAACCCAATGTTGTATATAACCTTTAATATTTCAACCTAAGGTACTAATGCAAGGAAAGTTATTTCAGAGGTGTACGCATTTTTTGTACTGCAGTGTACTGTCTTTGGGTGGAAAAGTAAACACAAGATTGATATGGAATCCATTTTTACAAAAATAATCTATGAAATATTCTGGTCATAGAAAACTATTATGTGCATTTTAAAAAATTATCAAAATTAAATGCTTTCACCCTCCAAGGATACTAAATGAACACTGATGGGACTTTTCTTTTCTTCCCAATTTAAGATTGAAACTGTCAAAGGTTAATACCAAATTACAAGGTTGCAAAGGAAATTATAGTGATATAAAAAGTTATTTATCTATGTCAAAATCTATGTAAATGTTCTTTCTTTATAACCATCTTGTTACTCTTTCTTAAAAGCCCTAAAATTCCAAAGTAATTATTTTTTTAAGTAAAACAGCATCTTTCCATCTCTAACCTTTTTAGGGTTGATAAATTTAGGATAATAATAAATATTATTTATTTATTAAGATTACAGTTTTTATTATTTGACTGAAAAGTAAAATCACATTTTAGCCAGACAGTGTAATTGTTAGCCTGATAGCGTTCTCTTTACTGAATGCTGAAGGTATGCCAGACTGGTTCCTTATCTCTAAAAAAAGAGGTAAAATCATAGATTTTGAATCTTTTAATTAAGCTAATAATATTTTAGTTTGAAAAAAAATGTCCAGTATTTTTTTAATGCTTTCCAATCTTATTTCAATTTTTTAAAAGTGGACCCCCCCCCAGGGTCCTACACTCCAAAAGGAGGAAAAAGCCCACCTTTTTTATTATTGATTTAAAAAATCCAAAAATTTCTCAAAATTTGTCAAATAGTCATGCAACACACCTTAAATTAATATCAATATACAACCAAAACAACAAAATGAGTAGATCATTAATTGTAGTACTAATGTAAATATATAGCTGTCCATTTTGAATTTTAATAATTTTTTTCAGTGTATTCTGGAAGTATAATGCTGATGACTTGGGCATTAGCATGTTCACTCTTAACATTTGGATTTTCTAGCAACTTAAGGTTAAAATTAATATTCATATTAAATAAATTATCCATCATTTTTATCAATGCTCATGCATATGTTTTTAAATATTTTCTTCCATTTTTTTTTACAAGAACCTTTATTGATTTTTTCAGGTTTGTCGACTTGTTGTCAAAAGAGGACTTATATCTGACTTTTTAAGTTGACTTTAAGTCAACTTTTTCTAAACTTGTTTTAAACTACTATTCTATATGAGTTTTGTTTAATATGATTGAACTCAAATTAAAAATCCTGTTGGTTAATTTAAAAAATAACTGTCCCATGTTAACAATGTCAAGTCCTAGTTTTAACACTCTAACTATGTGCCAAATTTGGTTTCATCTAAAAATCAACATTATAAAAAGGTACTATGCAAGCATAATTCATGTTTTGAGTTAATTCATAGGGCAATACTACTGTCCCCATCTTATGAACCGTTTATGGATTCATCATTCCAAATTGCAGAGAGGGGAATGGTAAATATCTTTTTATTGTAATTATGATGATTTACTTTTCTCATAAAGAATGTTTAGACTCTTGTTTGGAATACAAAATACAATGCAATACTTGACTACATGAGGTCATCTCCTAATCCATCTGTTTCTGAAATTATGAAAACTATTGTATATGTTACTTCTGAGGTATTTTCCAGTACAATTTTTACATTAGATGGTTTAATTTCAAATTTCAACTGTACCTAGGATGATGTATCGGAGATTATTGCTGAAAAAGGATTGAAAAATTTAGTTTTCTATACTAATGTAAGTTTTAAATTTGTTACATATATACTGCTGAAAAAGGATTGAAAAATTTAGTTTTCTATACTAATGTAAGTTTTAAATTTGTTACATATATACTGCAAGTTTTTTAAAGATACATATGTTCACTGAAAGAATACATAGAGCTGAATTAAATCAATTGTTGTTAACTCTGAAAAGTAATTGTTAATTAGCAAATGTTTTAAGAGCCTAATAATTTTCTGGTATTGGTGTAAATATTAACCAATAAGCCAGTTGAGAAACAGTTTGATTCTAACTAATGATAAAGAATAATATAATTATTTAGGAACTCATACCAGATATACCATTCAAAGAATACGAGAGTAAAGTATGAAATAGAACTTTTATCTATATGTTGAATTTTACTTTTAAGTCATTATATTGCTGCAAAATTTACTATTTTTTGTTAATGAATTTTCTTATTTAATAAATTTTTTTGACTAATTCAGTCAATCCTTAAAGTTATTCTCAAAATGCATTAAATTAAAGTTATTTATATTTTTTTTCTAGGAAGTAATATCTTCAAAGGGTTCAGGACATGTTATTCAAAAAAACTCTAAATGGCAAGAAATTATTGAATATCACATCTTAATTGGGCTTCAGGTGATACATTTCTATATAGCGAATCATCAATACTGCCACTAAAATGATTTGTCATATTTAATCTGTCCTTATAAATGGATCCTTGTTATAATGCATCCATATAAATGCATCCTATTATGTGCATCATCATTAGTACATCCTTGTAAATGCATCCTTGTGAGTGCATCCTTATTTGTGCGTCCTCATTTGTACATCCTTTTAAGACAATCTTAAATCATAAAACAAAACCATTATTATTTCGAAGTAGGCTCTATACAGAGTAGTTGATGTTGAAATAAAAAATCATTGAAGAGAACAAATTATATATGTGTAGCTTACACAGAAATTTTCATACATTTGGATTGAAAAATAGAGATCTGAGAGCATATTTACTGCATGTTCTTATCCTTCTACTCTTTTATCTCATTCTTCTTGTCCTTTTGTCATGTACGCATCTTTCTCATCCTTTTCACCCTTCTCCTCCTGTCTTTTTGTACTTTTTTAATTATTCTCATCCATTTCATCCTGCAATAATACAGTTTATCTTTCAAATCCTTCTCATATGTCTTTCATCTCATCCTTCTCACCCGTCTTACCCTCCCTAGTTTAAGGCAGCTATGTGGAACTGTTTGGATTAAAACATGACAGTACTAAAATAATAGAGTTTGGAGTTTCTATATGCTTCTCTTCATATCTTGAAAATAAATATTGCAGCCTGAAAAACAGTAAAAAGTAAAAACCTAGGAATCTTCTATGGGAGTCCCTTGATACCCTCCCATCCTGACCTACTCAAAACTTCTCCCTTCTCCACCTTAACCCTTCATTTTTGTAATAAGCAGCATTTGAAATTGATTTCTTGGTGGACAGATGTTGTAAGCTTCATTTTCAAGACCACTAGGAGAAACTGGGATATGGACATACAACTCAGAGTACAAAATGAAATTGGAACAATTGCCAAAACTTTCTCCCACCCAGGCCGCCCTCTCCCTTCCCCCACACCCCCGCCCTTCTGTGCCAAGTCAACTGCAATAAATCTGATGCAGAAATGAGTCAGCTAAAACAGAATTTGCTCAAGAAGATAGGGATGAATAAAGACAGATTCATTTTACAGAAACTTTTTATTTATTTTAGATTTTTAAAAAGATTTTACAATAGAGATGTCAACATTTTAATTTTTCTAGATTTTAGCTTTCGTTGCGATAGTGTTCATCAAAAGTATTAACGTTTGAAACTATGTTGCACATTGTGAAATTTTATCACATAGAGTAACGGTACGTAATGAATTTTCTGCACTTGAATATCTTATACAACGTTAAGCTTTAGTAAATGTTAGTGAAAAAACAGTAAGCTCCGTTATGCTTTTGCAATTCCCGTTTTAAAAAACTTTCCGAACATTGCGTTAAAGTTTTAGTAATATAAACACAATTTTTTAACGTTCCACTTTCATGCAAGGTAAATATTTTCAGAGACCTTACGTTACACTTTCACTTGGTTTAAGATCTAAAAGATGTCATTGGGGCATAGTTCTGTATGTTACAATGCATTTCAGTGCAAAGAATATTTTTTGTTAACATTACGTTTTATCTTAACTTTTCCAATATAAATTCTTTTAATTACTTTTAGAAATTTTACTAAAATGCACCTTTTCTTATGTTACAATTTATCAAAACGTTATTGTGAAAACTTTTTTGTTGCATTTTTTTACAACTGACAATCAAAACTGTTTATTTGTTTTGTTTTTAAGAAAGATTTGAAAAAATGTTCTATACAATGCGTTGTATTAAAATGTATAAGCCTTAATGCTTCTAACGTTACACTATATTAAATTAATATTGTTTCTAAATGAAAGCATTGCAAGATTTTTTCTGTGATAATTACATTTTTTTACTCACCCTGTATGTTGCTGTTGTATTGTTAACCTCTTTAGAGAATGTGTAGAAGAATATGCATTTTGCAATACAAAGATGTTATAATATTATTATTTTTAATGATTTTTAAAATTTGTAAATGAAAGTTTTTAGCATTAAACTTTCAACTCAAAGTGTGTCTTTAAGGGACTAGAGAAGAGACGTAATTTCAAGTGACCTTCCATTTATGGAGTGGGATGTCCAGTAGGGGTGATCAATTTTGGAATAAAGCAAACTGCCCACCGGAAGTCCTGCGTTTTCACCATACGGCCACAAATAAATTTTAATTTTTTATTTTCATGTTATACATCATTTTCTTGAAAATTCAATGCTAAATTCAAATCTGAAAAGCGTTTAAAAAAATTGAAAATTGAGTGAGTCAGAGCTTAAAACTTTTTTTGATTTTTATATATTTAAAAATGGTTTTCGAACCTGAATTCAGCATGAAATTTCCACATTATTGTAATGTAGCGTACAAAAACATACATTTTACGTTACGTTACACTATCGTTGACATCTCTATTTTACAACATGTGAGAAGGTTCCAACATTTTAAAACTTTACTCTGTAGAATTTTGTTTTTTTAAACATGCAAATTTGTTATTCTGAAGAAATTATAAGGCAAAAACAAATGTTTTGGGGTTTATAAAAGGGTAGTTTTTGGTTTTGTTTTTACCTTATATTTTCAACTATGATAAAAAAATTGTATGTTTTATAAAAGCAAACTTCTACAGAACACAATTTTAAATCGTTGGACCCTTCTCAGAATGTCGTGAAACCCTTTAAAAGTTAAAACTACTTAAATTTTCCGTAAAACAAATTTAGCTGTTGTCCATCACTAGAAACAGAGTGAGTGTCCAAAAAATCAGTATCAGAATCAGGGTCAGTCATCAAAAGAAAAAAAATTAAAGGAAGAAGGAGAGAAACGATGACAAGAGGGAAAATAAAATAATAATTGTTCTGTATGAATTATATCCTAATCTTAAAATTAAAAATTAAAAATAATAAATTGTGAAAAAATTTCATGTTCTGAAAGCTATTTAAAACTATCTTTTAATTATACTTTAAATTTATCTTTATCCTGAGAATCACTAATCCCTGCTTAATCCTTTCTAATTTGTTTGCTTTTAATGTAGCATATTTTATCTAAATTATTTTCTTTTTATTTATCTAAAATTTTATTTATAAGTACATCCTCATTACTGTATCCTTCTAAGTGCATCCTCATTAGTCAAGACTCATAAGTGCATCTTCTACATTATGGACATAACAGATTAAAACAATTCATATGTTCATCAAGGGCATAATTATATGCAAGATTAAAAGTTTTAAATAAAATATTTAAAAATTACTTCTCATACATAGTAAACATTTCCCAATATACTCTAACCTTTTTGCACTGATGTATTTTCATTCATATATTTTCATTACTATTTAGGCTAGTTTTGAGACATTTGTAAAAAGAAAAACAAACGATTTATTTATAGAAAGCAAAGTTGAAAAGGAAGAAATGGATGAATTGGTAAGTTTAAAGTGAAAGAATTTTAAAAATGTCACATTTTTCAACCCAAATATAAATATTATTTGCATAGGAAAAGCTAAAAATTAATCATTTGGCCTCTGCATTTATTATTCTCGGAGTTGGACTTGGAATTTCTACCCTAGGAAAAAATGGATTTTTATTTTGATTCTTGAAATGATGGCACAGGTTCGTTTAATGTCCCAATAGCAAAAATAAAATATAGTAAATCATGTTTTTTGAGAATTTCCTAACAAAATTATCAAAATGCAGGTAAAATCCATATTCTTTAAAATTTTTATGTAAAAAGCAGAATAACAATAAAAATTTTTGGGGTGCAAGGAACTAATTAAGTAATCCATTTTTTTCTAAGTATGTTTAATGGAACTTGTCTACTTTAAGAAGATCTTCTATATGTAAATTATAGATTTTTGAAATAAATGAAAATTATTGTTTTTATATCCTGTATCTTACCTACTTAGGGGAAAGATTTTAGAAATAAATGGAAGTTATTGATGTTATATCCTATATCTTCACAACAGAACCTTATACCTATTTAGTGGATAGATTTTAGAAATAAATTGAAATTATTGTTTTTAGAACCTTATATCTACTTAGGGGATAGATTTTAGAAATAATTGGAAATTATTGTTTTATATCTTGAATCTTCACAACAGAACCTTATACCTACTTAGAGGATAGAATGATTTTAAAAATTAATGGAAATTATTGTTGTTATATCCTATATCTTCACAACAGACCCTTATACCTACTTAATGTATAGATTTTAGAAATAAATGGAAATTATTGTTGTTGTATCCTATATCTTCACAACAGACCCTTATACCTACTTAATGTATAGATTTTAAAAATAAATGGAAATTATTGATTTTATATCCTGTACCTTAGCAATAGAACCTTACACCTACTTAGTGGATAGATTTTAGAAATAAATGGAAGTTATTGATGTTATATCCTGCATCTTCACAACAGATTCTTATACCTACTTAGAGGATAGAATGATTTTAAAAATAAATGGAAATTATTGTTGTTATATCCTATATCTTCACAACAGAATCTTAAACCTATTTAGTGGATAGATTTTAGAAAACAAAACTCTACAGAGGTTTGGCCCATCACCATCACTGAATTTTAAAACAAAACAATGAATGGTTGACATATCCAAGTATAAAAATTTTCTATTGAATCCTAAACAGGAGGGGGGGGGGGTGTCAAATGCCCCCCTCCCACTAGTATTATGTCCTAGCACTCTCGTTTTTGACAATACAATAAATTTTGACGAGTAATTTGCAAACTTGTTCTTTGAAAATGATAGTATGTAGTTCCACTGGCCTTTCATTGCTTCATAATCATTTTATAACAATTTATTTTCAAATTAAATTTTTTTTCAACAAAAAGAGCAGTGAATTTTTTTTAAACTATTGTATCTTATTTTTATCTAATTATACATCTAGGCATTCTATTCTCTTGTAGACAAGGAAAAAATGCTTCTTACTCATAATAGAAAGTTACTGTTTGTGAGTAAATATAAGATGTATTTGCAGTATTTAAGAATATCTGACTCAACAACTGTTGAAGGTTATGCTTCAAGCAAAATTTCTTCAATATTCTTACAGGATGGAAAAATAAAAGTCTAGGTGAAATAAGCAAGAGCTTGCTAAATTACTGGTTAACATTTCTTCTTAAATTTTCAAAACTGTTTTTAAACACTATCTAATTTTACTTTTATATTTTAGCTCCATATTACCCTTAATTTTTTATTTTAGTATTTATCTTAATTAAACTGATTACATCAAAAACATACAGCAAACTTTGACAGACAAGAATTTTAAAAAAACCAGAATGATTGCTTAAAAACTAGCCAAAAAAAAGGAATTCTTTTTGTTGGGTTTTTCTTTGATTTTTAAATTAAAAGAATCCAGTTCAATCTTACATCTGAAATAAAGAAAAGTCTCCTGATTTTATTTTTAATCACTATTTTTAAAGTTAGGCGTACCAAACGATATAGATCAGCTGACCAAGGATGAGCACTGGTCCCTACCCTGAACCAACTCCACGAGTAATTAACAGTAAAAAAGTTTAAAGGCGACCCCCCCCTCTGGAACTAAAAAAAAATTAAAATTATAGGACTAAAAAGAAAAATAACTGTAGTAAAGAAGAAAATTGTTGTTTATTTAAGAAAAATACTAAATTTCTTAATTTTATGTGACGAAAAAATCCTGTGCTCTCGTCTTGATCCAAACTCAACTAGCGGTCAAGTATTTAATTGATTGATTGATTGATTGGTTAAGAGATAGAACTTCTAAAAAATCATAATCTTAATTTAAACTTAACTTAGTCCAACTAGGGGTGGGTTGACTGCTTGATTAATTGATTGATCAATGAATTGAGGAATGTATAGATCTTCGGAATAACTGATATTTTCAACTTTCAACTCCACCGTTGTTTAGAATTATACCTAATCTCAATCCAGCTCGAAATAAGGAATTGATTAGTTAAAAATGATAAACAAAATTCCTAAAAAGAGAAAATGATTTTTTGTCTATTATATAAAGCTTGTAAAACCTCAAGTTTTAATTCTAACTATGTTTATCTAAATAAGTAATTATTGACGATAAAGATATAATTGGACTTGAATCTGGGAACTAATTAGCCTGTGTACCTATCATAAATTATTGAGATTCAAGGCTAAACAACCCTGTGTAAAAGATCGTAGAAACAACTAAAACTTCTAGAACCATCTAGAAGAAAAGATGCATGCAAAGAATATGTGGGTCAGAGAACCTTTTTCTCAAGAAAGTTCTAGAATAAACAAACTACCAAGCAGCGCAAAAAACAAGCTAGACATTTTGGAGAACGTTCTAGAACAATCTACCATGGTTTACTATAAAAAGCCAAGACAGACCCTGACTCGGGTTAGTTAGTTGGAATTTGAATCCTAGATCTTCGCTCTCAGATCTGTATATATCGTAAAATGACCCTGTGATTTTGCAGTGTATCTTTGAAGAGACAAATTGGAAAATCTAGGTAATAAATCATTTTATTTGTAACTATTCGTTTGGTCAATATCCGTAATTCTTGTTTATCTATTCATCCTAAACTGATTCATAGCCCAGCTAACATTAAATCTTCGCCAGAGTTGGTTTTCCGCCGTCGTAAATGCGATGGCGGGGGGTACACTGTACCGCAATAGTATATACTATATGTCCCCGCCATAGTGCAATTGTCGCAGTTTCGATGGCGGGGAATTCTGAACCTCTGTAGTAGAAACAAAATTTTCCCCGCCATAGTATAATTGTCGTATATACGACTTCGGAAATTCTGAACCGCTGTAGTATATATACAAAATTTTCCCCACCATAGTACATCTGTCGTATATACGACTTCGGAAATTCTGAACCGCTGTAGTATATACAAAATTTTCCC